GCACTCCTAGAAAATGAAATTTTTAAAATACCCTATTTACAATAGCATAAAAAAATAAGTACCTAATAATCTGACAAAAGTTACGCAAGATGACTACATGTAAAATGTATAAACATTTTTAGAGACACAAAAAGAACTATCCCATGTTCATGGGTTGGAAAACTCAATATTGTAAAGATATTACTTCTCCTCGAGTTAATTTTTAAATTTAGCACAATCAGAATCTCAGTGAGATGTTCCAAAATGTTTATGGAAATGCAGAGAGCCAAAAATACCCAAGACATTTTTGAAGAACAAGCTGGGGTTTAACTTATTTACCAAATATCAAAATATAATGAAGCTTTTCTAAGTATGACACTGTGCTCTTGGCACGGACTGAGAGAGGCGGCAGGCCAGCAGAACGGGTCAGAGAGCACTGCAAAGAACCCATTCACATCTACATGGGATTCACAACAGGAGTGTCCCAGCAGAAAAGCAGGGAAAGGGCAGCCTTTACAGTTCATAGCGCTGGGACAATCGGGTTTCCATATGTTAAGAAATTAAATTAGACCCATATTTCACGGCACACATAACAATCAGTTTCAGGTAGATTATGAACGTAAGTGTGGAAGACGAGACCACAGAGCTTTTGGGGATACTATTAAAGAATGCTGGCTGCCGGGGAGCCTGCCGTGCCCATGGACTGGCTCACCTGGATTTGTCAGCGTGGTGTGTTCCTAAGGCTCCTGATGAGACTGGCGAATGAGAGCCCAGCTGAAGCCAAGAAGTCAGTTCCTTCATCTTTTCCTTTGCGGCCACCGCAGCTGCTAACACACCTGCTTCCAGCCTCAAGGGAGAAGACTTCCTGTGGTTGGGAAGAGTAGCTCCTTCTTGGCCCTTCTGCTGGGAGGCCTCCGCAGGGCAGCTAGAAACCCTGCCTCTCCCAGCATCAAAGATTGCTCCGTGTAAATCCACCCCTGTTTGAATCTCTCAAGTCTTATTGAGTCCAATAGAACATTGGTAGCACTTACAGGAATAAAAGGACTCAGGATGTTAGAACTACCCAAAAGATAAGGAAAGACTTCTGAATTTGAGGGTGTAAAAATCAGTGGTTAATTGTAACAGCACTGCAGTGCTGAGAGAATTCATCATTTCTACATCTTGGACTCTTAAAGCATGCTGCTTGGTAAACAAGTAAGTGCCAGATCCCCAAATTAAACTACTAACATGTGACAAAATGATAAAATTGTACTTTCTGTGTGAGTTCCAGACACCCACTAAAGTGGGGTCTCAAAAACAGAGGCAGAAAGTGTAATAGTCATTAATGTCATGTTGTGCAAGAGTTCGTATTGGTTCACATCTTTAACACTTGGTATTGTGAGACTTCGTAATTTTTGCCAGTCTGAAGGGGATATTCCACGTCTCTAAGAGTGACAGCAGTCACATTTGACTTTGAGCCATTGGTCATGGTCCTGAAGAATGTCTTTGGACAGAAAGGCAGAGGTGAAGTAGCAGCATACCACTGTTAAGGGCTGTTGGATTCTTTACAGGTGCCTCCTGCGATGGCAGAGGCCTGCAGTTATGATGCTGGTGCGGTGTGCCCTGCTCACCCTGTGTTCTCACCCTATGGTGGTTACGGCAGAATCAGGAATGCTGCATCCCGGTGCTACACCAGAGGGGAAGATGAAGACCGACTATCAGAGAAGTCCTGGGATTCCAGAGCTGATCTCATTCCTTCTCTGTCTGTGTTTGAATACACTGGGTTGGAATTCACACTGAAAATGGCATCCAGGGAGGATGATTCCTTTAACTGACTTTTCTTGGTTAGTCAGACTTCACAGAGATTCCATAACCTTTATGTGAATCTTTATATATAATCTTTGTATAAACCCATTGCAGAGTAGGCAGCTGGCTTTGAATGGAGGATTCTGGATCATACCTGATGCTCTCGAGTCCACAGTCATCTGCATCACAAGTCCCCATGAATGCCTTTATTAAGCACACACAGTCCATCTACCATCTCCTCTGCTTTGTACTAAAGAAGATGCTAAGGTGGCAGAAACTATTCCCATATTCTAGCTGAAACCCTACATTCACTCCAAAAGCACATCATGAGCATTTTACATGTAAAGTTGCCAAAGCCGCATTTAAAAAAATTATCAAAAAAAGCTGTGGCTTCCTGCTCCCAAAGAATGTCTTATTCACCATCAAGACCACAAGGAACAGTACATTCTTACTGATGTGACAGAGGAGGAGACCTAGTAGAGGTCAAATTATTATGACCAAAAAGGAAAAAAGTAGAAATAGCTACTATTGAGAGAAAAGGAAAAGTCTGTAGGAAATGGCTGAGCACTCAACTGACAGATATGACCAAGGAAAAACAAGAAAGATGATTAGAAAGAAAAGAGTCCTCCACAGTTTCACCCTCAAATCCCTGTTCTTTATTAGAGACACTAACAGAAGACTGTATATTAGTGAGAATTACAGATCAACTTGAACGTTTGGGCAGTGCCACCCTACAGGTTATTATGAAAAAGGACTGTCAGTGTAGATGTCCTGTCAGGTCCTTCCAGGAAAAGTGCATTCAGTTCATCCAAAAGGAGGAATGTAAACACGTAAGGGAAATGGTAAATCACTGATAGCTGGAATCAAAGGAAAAGACTCCAGTAAGAGGTAGCTTTACCTAATTTCTAGAGGAGCATTTTGAATGAAAAAAAGTAATATCTTCATGATTTGAGGTTGGACAAGAATTTTTTGAGCTAGGCACAAAGAATAGTAAGTACAAAAGAAAAGATTTAAATTCAACTGCATCGAACTTAAGGAACTTATGTCCATTAAGAAAAAAATAAGAACAGGCAAGCCAAGACTGCAAAATGACAAAGGACTAGTATCTAGAATAAAAAACAAAAACAAGACTACAGATCAAGGAGAGAAAGTGATAGGCAGCCTAATAGAAAAGTGTGCAAGAGACTTAAATAAACATTTCAGGGGATCTAGAAAATGTAAACACATAAAAGTTGTTCAACCTTACTGGTCATCAGAGAAACACAAAGCCACAGTGAAATACCACTATTCATCAGGTTAGTCAAAATTAAAGAGTTTGTCAGTACCAAATGTAGTGCAGATATGTAACAGTATGAGTCTTATGTCTGTTGGTATGGGGGTACGTTAGTACAACTACTTTGGGAAACTATTTGGAATTATCTACTAAAGCTGAACTTATAGATACCATATGACATAGTATTTCTACTTTGAGTGATATTATCAACAGAAATACATGCACCAAGAGACACGAATAAAAATGTTCATGGCAGCATGTTTGTAATATCTCTGGACTGAAAACAACCCAAATATCTATCAGTAAAATAAATAACAGTATATTCATACAGTGGAAAACTTTAGAGCCAAGATAATAAGCTGTTGCTACATATATCAACATGGATGAATCCTACAGTGTTGAGTGAAGGAAGTAAAACACAGAAACATACGGCTGATTGCTTGCATTTATATAAAATTCATCAACAGACAAGATTTAACTTTAGTACTAAGGAATATGTATTAGTCTGCTGGAACTGCCATAGCAAAATACCATAGACTACGGGGCTTAAACGAGTGACATTTATTTTCTCGCCATTCCGGAGGCTGGAAGTCCAAGATGAGCATGACGGCATGGTCAGTTCCTGGTGAGACTTCCTGGCCTTTAGACGAACGGCTACCTTCTCCATGTGTGTTCACCAGACCTCTTTGTGTGTGCTTGGGAAGAGAGAGCGAGCTCTCTGGTGAATCTCCTTGTAAGGACACTAATCCTACCTATCAGAGCTCCACCCTGTGACCTCATTTATCTCTACATATAATCACATTGTATCACATTTCAGGGGAGTCACAATTCAGTCAATTGCAGGATGATAACAATGTAAAGCAAAAGAAGGAAGTGGTAATAGTATTAAGGAATGTTAAGTATTGGTATAAAGCAAAGTAAGGAAGTCAGGATAGAGGTTACCTATGATGTGAGCAGAGGTAGGAGTTGGGATCGGAAGATGCCATGCTGGGAGTGTTTTGTTGTTGGATCCACATAGCTGTTCATTTTATCCATTATTTGTTAAATTGCCCATTGAAGTTTTATATGCTTTTCTGTTTGTAGCTTATACTTAAAGTTTTTTTAAAGAAGTAAAACCATTGTGTCCATTCTCATTTTCTGTTCTACAATCTGTTAACATTGGTGATCTATTTCACTTATATTACTCTGTTATTAATAGGGATTGTGCTTAACTATTTGCCTTTTCTGGCCCCTCATAGAAATTATTTTTATATATTTTAAAAATATTAATATGGTAGATAATGGTAAATTTAAAATGTTTTAGCAATGCTCTTCTTTCTTGTGGAGTATATGTTTCCTGATATCCTGATGAATTCAGTTGAAATTATATTTTTGTCCTTGAACATTTTCCCATGTAGGTAGAAATTTCCAGCTTTGCTTGTTTCCGGCCTGCACTTTAGTAAGGTTAAATTAGGTGTTAGAAAGGTATTTGGTGTATTTGGTCCTCTTAAAGATTATCTTTTATTGGCAAGAGTAAGGAAAAGAGGAGATTTTCCAAAGTGAACTACCCCCAAATATAATCAGTAAAAGAAATGCTGACTAGAACCAGAGTTCTTTATGTAGCTCTACTTTCTTCTGGTATCACTAGTCAGTCAAGGTGGTGTAACTACTGAGATGGGACATGAATTCCTAATTTCAGCAGTCTTTCAAAAGGATTGTGAATTGCTGTCCCAGTCAGGAAGGTATCTAGGAACCTGGCGTGCTCCTCACCCTAAAAATTAACCCCAATAACTCAAGGGGACATCCTTATATTCTCCCCCAGATGGCTTGTGCAGTGAGAAGACAAGCAGATGGTGGTTCTCTTTCACAACAGATCTTTAGTCATATTCTGAAACCCCATTTGTCCATACTGTATGGAAGAAACAATAAAACAGTGGGTTATCCCTTAAGAAAACTTCTCATCAAAGTATGTTTTTTATTATAGATAATTCGCTCCTTTCTGCTCTTTCCAACAATTGAGCGAATAGCTGAGTCACCAAATGGCAGGATCGCCACTCCACTTCTGTGCTGGTTTCGATATGCTCTCTATGTTTTTGCCTACCTTCTACTTAAACCATGGCCTGAGAAAATCAAGTCCTTTGTGATCAGAACTGGCCTTCGAATGATGAACCTGCAGAGCGAATTTTCAGTTCTGAATATATTAGAACCATTCTGCCTTGGTAAGCACATTTTAAAATGTGTATGTTTTTCCATCTCTTTGTGTCTTCCTCACTTTCTTTCTTAAGTTTCTATAGTTTTCAGAGTACAGATCTTTTACCTCTTTGGCTAGGTTTATTCCTAGGTATCTTGTGGTTTTTTGGTGCAATTATAAATGGGATCGATTCCTTGGTTTCTCTTTCTGCTGCTTCATTATTGGTGTATAGAAATGCAAACAGACTTCTGTGCAGTGATTAAAAGAATGAAGTCTTAACTGACTTGCCATTTGCAACTACATGGATGGAACTAGAGTGTATTATGTTAAGCGAAACAAGTCAGAGAAAGACAAATACCATATGATTTCACTCGTGTGGAATTGAAGAAACAAAACTGATGAACATAGGAGAAGGGAAGGAAAAATAAAATAAAGAGAGGGAGAGAAACCATAAGAGACTCTTGACTATGGGCTAATTGGGTGATGAGCGTTAAGGAGGGCACTTGATATAATGAGCACTGGGTATTATATGTAACTGACAAAACACTAAATTCTACCAATAAAACTAATAATACTCTATGTTAACTAACTTGTATTTAAATAAAATCTAAAAAATAAAATTTAAAAATAAAAGAAAGGAAAAATAAAATATATGTTTATTCTAGTATCAGAAAGTGGTAAGAGAATAACCTCAGACAGTTGGTGAATATTGAGCAAGGAATTATTTGTTGGTTTCTTTCTCCCAAAAGCTAAAAAAAAAAAACAAAACTAGACATAAAAATAGAAGGTTTAATTTTAATTTTCATCAAGCTTTAATTTTAAAACTTATCCTTCTGATTCTCCACTCTAGCTATCAGATGGTGGGAAAAACTCTGTATATAGTATATATGGAATCTTTATAGGAATCCAGGGTGCACCCTGTTAGTCCAGTGTGAGAACTTAGGAGAAACCAACCAAGGAAACCAGGCCCAATATTCCTGTAGATTGAACAGACAGTGCTTTTATTTTCCTCTTTAAATGTTTTTGGAGGGGTTTAAATGATAAAAGTAATAAATAATAGTCATGGTAATACAACAACTGGGTGTTATGCTGATTATATTTTCTGAATGTGCCAGGAAATATTTGCTACTTTACTTTTTGGCTCCAACCTTGGTTTTTAAATGTAATCTACCTTTTTAGTTTATAGTAATTAGAATATTTATAAATCATTTTCATAATAAAATAATCCTTTCTTAAATGAAGAGGGGGGAATCAGAGGGGGAGACAAACCATGAGAGACTGCAGACTCTGAGAAACAAACTGAGAGTTCTAGAGGGGAGGGGGGTGGGGGATGGGTTAGCCCGGTGATGGGTATTCAAGGGGGCACGTACTGCATGGAGCACTGGGTGTTATGCGCAAACAATGAATCATGGAACACTACATCAAAAACTAATGATGTAATATATGGTGATTAACATAACATAATAAAATTAATTAAAATAAATAAATAGATAATCCTTTCTTAATCTATACCTCAAAAGGTTATTGTAGGATTAAATATGATAATATATGCAAAGTATCTAATATTTTATTTATAATAAGCCTTCAGTGAATGATATAACAACAGTTGCAGCAGCAGCTAATGGCACTGTTCTAAGCTTTTACTTGTAGTCCTCAGAACTAATCAGGTTTGGGTATTTTACTATCACCATTTTACAGATGAAGATACAGAGAAGTTACATGATTTGCACAGTCATACAACTAGTGGGTAGTGTTCAAACTTTGGCAATCTACCACTATGCTAAAACTTCCTTTTACCATAACTGCTACTATCATCTTTTTGCCCTAGTTGATCATAAAGGCAGGACTCCCGAATAAAGCTTACCATGCTCACCTGCGTTAAGAGTGCCACACTATCATGTACGTAATGAATCTAGAAACAAGTCACAGCCCTGTTGTACAGCTACAGATTGGTTGTATGAGGTATTTTTTCCAAATATGTAGTAAGAAAAATATATTCTGTATTTGTAGATTTTTGTCTGTTCCATACTCTCTCCAACCCCCATTCTTTATTATAGACTTAGCATAGCAGTGGAAGAAGATGAGATAGGAAGAAGGGAAGCAGGGCTAAGGACAGTTATAAAAACCACCAATGACCAAAGTTGGAGAGGCCCCTTAAAGATGTGGTCCGGCCCCTTATCCTTCCCTCCTATTATAGAAGAGAAAGAGATGCCCTAAGTGAGAAAGGCATTGACTGCAAGTCAGAAATCCTTTCCCTGTCTGGTTCTTGGTCATTGATCAGACCAAAAGTTAGACTTGATGATTTCTGAGGACCAATACACCTTTAGAAATTATCTGAGACCAAATGGAAGTTACTTGAAATTGTAGCAAATGTATATAAAATTACTCTACATATACTTCAATAAATCATTTTATTTCCCTAGACATAAAATAAAAATAGAAATAGAAGGTTTAATTTTAATTTTCATCAAGCTTTAATTTTAAAACTTATCCTTCTGATTCTCCACTCTCGCTGTCAGATGGTGGGAAAAATTCTGTATATAGTATATACGGACTTTTTATAGGAATCCAGGGGGCCCCTGTTAGTCCAGTGTGAGAACTTAGGAGAAACCAGCCAAGGAAACCAGGCCCAATATTCCTCTAGGGTGAACAGGCAGTGTTTTGGTATTTTTTTTTTTTACCCTGTAGAGGAGATTATAAAAAGCATTTTCCAGTTAGGGACTCCATCTTCCTCCAAGGAATTCTGCTTCCAGGAAAATGGAATGGATGTACTTTTCCCTGCTTTTCCTACTAAGTACCAAAACCCCTGCATATTCAGTAACATGGAGGAAGACGAGAGAAAGAACACAAGAGAAACAAAAAATAGAACAAACAGAAAACAAATAATAAAATGGCATAGAAGCTCTAACATAGCAATAATTACATTACATGTAAATGGTCAAAATACACCAATTAAAAAACAAAGATTGGCAGAGTGCATTAAAAAACATTACCTAAGTATATGCTGTCTTCAGACATCCCAGTTCAAATATAATTATATAGGTAGATTGAAAGTAAAAGAATGGGAAAAGATACATCATGTAAACATTAATCAAAAGGAACCAGGAATGACTGTATTAATATTAGATAAAATAGACTTCAGAGCAAAGAAAATTACGAGGGACAGAGAGGGACATTGCATAATAATAATAAAAGGTTCAGTCTACCAAGAAGACCAAAGACATAGCAATCCTAAACGTGTGTGCACCAAACAAGAGAGCTGCAAAATATATGAAGCAAAGCCGATAGAACTGAAAGGAGTAATGGACAAATCCCCAATTACAGTTGGGTACTTAAGCACACCTCTCTCAACAGTTGATAGAACAAGACAAAATTAGCAAGGGTATAGAAGAATTCAGCCACAGTATCAACCAACAGGATTTAATAGACGTTAATAGAACACTTCACCCAAAACATCTGAGTTTCAGATAGGCATTAGATAGGCAGCCACCTGTGCTTTTCTTATACCTCCTTAGAAATATTTTCTAAACCCAAACCAGGACATGGAGTATATGAAAGTTTTATTTGTTTTTCTATATATGTTTAGTGGCTATGTAACACATATGACATATAGTAAAGTGTTTAATGTTTTTAACTAAAAGAGGTAATTATATAAAGGTATTTTCCAATTTTTCTACACCAGAGTTCTAAGCACCCTCTTTGAGAAGTGGGCTGATTAAGCTGCACATAAGAGAAAGGAATCATCCATCCAGCTGTAGCAGTTGGCCTCCTGCTGTGTCTTCCAGAGGACCCCAAGTGCAGGCATCAAGAAACAAGATAGTTCGGACATGACACACTACCCTCCTTGGCTCAAGGCAACCAGAGCCTTCCAGCCACATTGCTGCTTGGGGAGCCCTGGGATTCCTTTTCCACACAACCACTGTAGAGTGATACTATGTACAAATTAGACTCTAGACTGAGCTCCCAGCTGCCTTGCTTCATCTCTGTGCCAAACAACGAATCTGCAAACAAACTTTTGGAGCACAGGTCTGCTATTTCTGCCATCCTTCCTTCCCTGATTTTCTGTTCTCTTTGTTCTAGATCTGGCCTTCTGATGTTCAAGCGAGCCGTACTTCAGGGGTCTTCTTCCCCATTACCCACTCGGTCTGTGTACCTTGGGTAAAGGCAAAGCACGCAAAAATTACTTGTTTTTTTTCTTTGGGTTCTTGGTTCATGGTTTACATGGGTCTTAATTAAGTCTCCTGGTAGTGACCCTAGGCTGATCCTTAACCGATCATTTCAGTCATCCTAGCCACCTCTTCCTGCCTGTCTCCTTGGGATCCCACATCACCCTTGTCTCCTCTTGCAACAGGTACCCCGGAAACTGCCTTTGCCCGGGCTTGCCCTGGCTATCCCTTAGGTGATTCCCATTACCTTGCTTACTATAAAAGGAAGACGGTCTCAGGTGAGCAAGACCAATACTCATAAGACCTGGGCTTTTGCAAATGATTAGTGGGCTCCTGCCGAGCTTGTATCCTATGAATGGTGAAGGTAATCAGTATTCAATCCAACCCACTTGAGTCAGAAGGTACGATTTTTAGGTTACACAAAGGGCTCACCAAGGGAAAGGAAGACTGGCTCCAAGATCATTCTCAGTGGTCTGTGCCATCCGTGACATCCCCTGCAGACCTGTTTCTCCGACTTTCCTGTCATCTAGACAGTGACCTTTAACACACCCGCTTGACTTTTAGGAAGCCTTGCAGTGTTTGCACATTATGTAATGTCTGTGCTCCAGTAGAAATCTCACAGAAACAAACGGAGGAAGTTTGCTAGTCCAAATAGTGGATAATAAATCCTGCCCTATCTAGATAGACACTGATTTTCTGTATCCTTTAGTTTATACACATATTTTTTTGTTGTAGTAAGGTCTGAAAAATTCAAGGAACCAAAATATTCAAGTATTTCAAATGCTATTGCACTTTTGGCAAAGAGGGCACTTCCTATAGGCTGGGAGTCTACGCATTAGCCTTCTTCAGCAGATTGAGGGAG